TGTTTAGTCCCTTAGTAACATGCCAGGACAGAGTGGAAACTAATGTTTCTACATCTAAAACCAGACGTCCAGCAAGAGTAAACATCCAGTTTAACTATTAAAATCTTACACCAGATGATTACTGGCCTGAACCGAACAATAAGGTTTCCATAATATATCGTTTATCCAAGCCTGAATGAAGAAGATAGAAAATGAATTTATCTGCAGAAATGCATTAACAATATACACCGTGTAAGATAGCAGCCAACACTAACAATTTCTTAAATAATTCAGACGCTGATAATAGGCCTATGATGTATTAAGACGACTAAAGCTTGCTCAAACTTAAAAACCTAGTATGTACAGTAAGTCCAACCCAAAGTTACTTCCACAATTTCTCCATCTTTCTGATGCCTGCCTCCAAAGCCCAAAACAACTGGGTATAATATAAGAAACAGACATAAGACATTTATAACAAATTTTGCTCAAGATTCATTCCTTGTGCTGTTGCCCTTTGAAGTCTTCAGAGCGCAGATTGATTACAGCTTAACCAGGGTTTATATTCTCAATGTAAACCACAAGCTAAGACTCTACAAAAGTATCTGCGGAGAATATCAGCCCGTCTGAGTCGTTATTGGTGGATGTGCTATCGGGCGCTCGTGTGAAGTCCGATATCTTCGAGTCACACAGCTCTCAATCATCATTACAAACACATATAGAAGAGAAGACTTCAAAGGCGTGCTACCTTCACATAAAACACGACCAGATTAAAGCCGTATTCCCTCAGTTAGGAATTCCGTGTATTTTTGGGTGGAAAAAGAACCTTTCGATGTGCTGCCCTAAAGTACGAATCCGCTCCGAAAGTCAACAGATATCGATTGTCTACTTTCTGCAACATTAAAATGGAGGTGAAGAGTTCTTTCCAAAGTCAAACCATTTTCTTTCTTAGGATTTTGTCTACAGATTACAGATTTCTCGATTTAATTTATTTGTACCCCGACCAGAGTCTGGATCCTGTATTCTCCAAGTAGCCTAACTAAAATGCAGTATAAGTAGGTAAAACATTACCGGAGGTGGGCCAAATTACTAAGTAATTCAGTGACTATCTATCCATCCGCCTGCCCGTCCTTTTTCTGAAACTGCTTGTCCTATTCAGGGTCACGGGGGGTCTGGAGCCTAACTCAGTTACTACTCAGCTTAATCGCAGGTCGCGCTTGATTGGTGGTGGTTACATCATGCCTCTTTGTCATTGTTGTGACTCCTGCTACCTGGCTGGTCCAGTAGCTATATGTACGGGTGACGCGATAAGCTAAGATGAGTGTCCGAGATCCCGCCTCGGTGCCACCCACGGCGGCCTCAGGGTGGCGACAGGAAGCGCGATTACCGTTTACTCTCAGGCGCTTCCTGTCGGGATGATTCAGTCAGCACACCTCGATCCCACCCACTGCAGGTCTCAAGGTGCTGGTGCGTCTCCCATCACTGCTGGCTAGATTTCATCGCCAACCCTCATTCATCTATTATCACCCAGACAAGACAGACACGGCTGCCTTCTGTATGTTGTCACTGTTCCAAATGTAGATTAAATATTGAGTTGCAAGCTGCCTCTTTATCTTATTCCAGATGTCCTATCTTTTCCGTGACCATAATCATATATATCTGACAGCACCCGTATTTGTACACCGTTAGCAGAACCCACTACTCACTTCCATGTGGGTTTTCTGTCATCTTAGCATCTGTAGACAAAAAACAACTATGTTGCATAACACTTAGTAAACTGCAGTGTGGCGTGATCTCCATGGCAACTTCAAAACCCCGCTGCTGTTTAACAGTGAAAGAGACTCACCCTTCACCTGCAGGCAGCTGTGCACACATGTTTGGCGCCCCCTGCTGGGAGGCAGGTAGCCTTGTCTGCATTACCTGCACTGCCCCCCCCCCCAATTCCCTATGCCTCCAGTCCAGGATTTCAGAAAATCATCTGGGAGGCTACAGGGAAAACATCTGTCCGTATAGCTACCACAAAGAATCAAAGCAGCAGACTAATCAGGCTAAATGAGGTTACATACCCGTCATGTTTTAGCCGGTGGTGAAAGTTGTGTTTATATTCAGAAAATAATGAGTTAAGAATGACTCCAGTACACTATCACAAGTATAACCAAATAAAAACTATTCTAAATAGGATATATACAGTAGGAATTAATGCTGCAAGATGGAACTGATAAAAAAATCCCAAAAAAGACTCAACACCACTCATGACAACCATATACACTTAAAATACACATTAATTTATTAATTTCGGGGGGTAAAACACATTTTTGGGCGGTCGAAGCTCCCCTAGAATAGGCCGAAAAACGCCCCGGGTGTTTAGTACATCATTCTCAGTTCACAAACATTTCTCTGGAGCGTTTGTAGACAGGGATCGTTAGACTTGTGTAGTACTGCCCTCTTGTGGCGAAAGAAAACGAGCATATGCAAACATTTGGTCTTTCCATTAACTTTGTCTGCATGGATTTCTACACTTCTTTATGGAAAAACGTATACTACTTAGTACTCAAATTACAGAAATATGAGAATTAATGCGATTTACAAGTTACTTTTATCATTAAATTTTGCGGCATAAAGGTTATGCGCTTAGGGTTAGGCTATCATGGAGGCATCCCTAGCACTGCATGGACAACAGCGGTGATCAAAGGGGTCTGTTTGAAGTCGGAAGTATTTTAGGCAGTGATTTAGAGGTGACTAAATCAGACACACGGCACTTATGTGGTAACACAGCGAGATTTTCAGGTTTAGGGTAACCATGAGAGGGTTTATACACATTTTACGGGATTATACAAACCCTTGGTGTTAACACTAGCATTTTTGTTTCTTAGCAAAAAGGTCTGCTGAAGCGAAAGCCTGTATCAAAAAGGATTTCAGAGAGTTAAATAAACCCCGAGTGAGACCCAGGGACGTTGTGTTGAAAATCGGCACGTCATAGCGACCCAGTACTTCACTGGACTTAAAACTGCTTTCCGGTACGCAGAAAGGCCCACTTTGGAGCATGTAAGCGGAGATCGAGGGAGCGCCTTATTATCTGCAGGAATGATGAATGCCATGGGATTACAATGACGTACAGCAAACCGGCAGAATTCCATGCATGGTTATGCTATGACACGTTGTTCAAAATTCAAAACAACGTTAGTCAACCAAGGATAAATACTTTTACTGGTATACTGCCATCTGGTGACCTAAATATAGTATTGCAGCTAGTGTTTATGAACTGAAGCAGTTTTTTTCCTTTTTTTAATTATTATTATTATTTTAATTATTCAAGAATAATTTAACCACATGCTGCCTATTCCAGGCAGCATATGGTTAAAGGCTGGGGTACACCAATATAAGAATGAATCTATGGCAGAGTCTGCACTCACACACAAAATCACACAGTGTACAATGTAGAGATGCTAATAGGCTAACTGCATGTCTTTGGGCTGTGGGAAGGAACCGAAGTACCCAGAGGGAACCTACACAACACAGGGAGAACATAGAACATGCAAACTCCAAACACAAAGCACAGTAGAATACAGTATTTTATCAAATTGATTTATCTTTATCTGCATCAGTAGATATTACATATTGCACTCACTTAACTGTTTGCACTACCTCTAATCTCCCCTACTATGCACTTTTTATTTCCCCTTCCCCTCCTGGGCTGTGCTGCCTGGAGACCAAAAAAAAAAAGATATTCTGCTTACCGTGCTGCCTGCGACGCCTCTGCTACCTGTGCTGTCCTTCCGGCCTGCCGCCCTGGTCCCTGTGACGTCTCTCCTTCCTTCCCTGCTGCTGTCCTTCCGGCCTGCCCGCCCTGGTCCCTGTGACGTCTCTCCTTCCTTCCCTGCTGCTGTCCTTCCGGCCTGCCCGCCCTGGTCCCTGTGACGTCTCTCCTTCCTTCCCTGCTGCTGTCCTTCCG